TTGTAATTTCAAACTAGGTCAATTAATCTTTTATACTATATTTTGCTATTATGCTAGTTTTGTTTAGTTTGCTTTTATTCTAGTTTAATATAATTCGTTTAATTAATTTAATTTGACCAAAGAGCATTAACTAGTCTTGTAATTTCAAACTAGGTCAATTAATCTTTTATATTTTTTAGATTCTTTTGGTTATATAATGAATTACTTAATTTTTAATTTGGATGAGCAATTTAATCATTTAATTTTCATAATTTTTTTCCTCATGTTAATTTTCATAATTTTTTTATTAGTCAAAGTAATTCAATCAATTCTTCAACTTTTGAATTCGTATTTTAAGAATTCTTTTAGTTAAATTATGAATTACTTATATTGTTCAAATGATAATATTGGCGAAATTCATATTCTAGTTATAAAAATGTCGAGAAACATGTTACACATTAAAATGTATGATTAATTTTTGTCGACTGTTTACGATAATAATAAATAAATTGTAAAAATTAATAATGATTTTTTTATTTCTAATTATTATAATTTTTTATTTTATTATTATAATCTAGTTTACCCCGGCCCCCCCGAACGCCAATTCCTAGCTCCGCCCCTGACCTTTGTATACTTCCTTATACCACCTTGATATAATCTTATATACTACTATATAGGCTTAGGCATTTTGATGGTTGTCATTTTCTGGGTTTTTTTTTTGAAGGGTTTTAATTAATTTTTACTTCTCCAGTTTGTTTTCCTCTTCTGGAGAATATGGAAATTAAGAATTAAAGTTGTATTTGAAAATACCAACATCATGTCCATTTTGCTTGCCCGCCAATTCTCATCTAAGGTCCGTGAAGTGTCCCCATCCTTGCCACCTACCCCGTCTTTGATGGTCTGTGCTCCTTCATCTACCCGGTTTCTCTAGCAATGCCCACCTGGAGACCTCTTTAAGATCAATTTTGATGTCGCTATCCAAGACTCTGGTTGCACGTCTGACCTTGTTGTTTGGGACTCGGACGGGCATGTGATCCTCGCCTTGAGTTTTCGGCATTAGGGTTTCCATCTCGTAGCCATAGATGCCATCTCTTTGCGGCTCCAAGAAGATTTTCTCATGTCATACTCGACGGCGATGTAGAAGTGGTTATATGTCAGCTTAGTCTTGGTGTGGTGGAGGATTCCATTGGAAGACCCCTTCACAATTATAGTCTTCTTCTTGAGTCGTTTGCTCGTTGTATAGATTTTAGAGCGGTTTCGCGAACTGCCAACTGGGTTGCTCATAGAGTGGCAAGTAAACCCTATTGTTGTCCTGTTTAGAGTTAGTAGCTTCTGATTTTGTAGGGTGGCTTGTGAATGTGTTGGGGGTTGTTGGTAGTGGATATTTCTAACTATTGCCTCGTCATTCCTTGAAAAGAAAAAAGATAAAATGTGGAGTTGAGTGGTGCCTTAGATTTAGGGTAGGGTGCATAACCATTAGTTATGCATTTGTACATAACTAGATTTGTCTCCTTAAGCATAATTCAAGGTGTTATCATGGTCAACTGAGCATAATTGAGTCCTAAACTATTTGATTTTAGTCTAGAATTTCTTCGTAACTCATTATGGATAGGTTTGAGCGAAGAATGTGGGTGTTTAGGTGATTTCCAGGCAAATTGGGCACAAGATTAGGGAGTTTGCCGAAGATACATAGCTCACAACATAAGGAAGAAGTTCATGGCTATGATCCCTACCCTTGATTTGAGTTCACGGGCATGCAAAAAATGTTACGCCCGTGATCTCAAAGCTCAGGCCGTGAACCCTTACAAAAAAAAAGGCTTAATTGCAAGATTGGTCACTCGAATTGCTATAAAATTTCACGTTTACCACTCAAATTAATTTATTCCATTTATAGTCACTCGAATTAGTTGAACAGTTCAGGTTCGGTCACTCTCCGTTAACTTTGACTGACGTGGCGGTCAACTCTGACCGTTGACCGTTAAATGTGTGACGTGGCAAATAAAAAATAATTAAAAAATAAAAATTAAATTTTTAGAAATTACACATCATTATAAAAAAATTATAATTATAAAAAATGAAAAAAAAGAACTTATCACAAAAACTTAGAACTGCCTCGCAACTCCCAACTTGAACTAAAAGTTCATTTGGTTGGATTTTCACACACACACCTTAAGAATATGAGGAGGAGAGGTGGGTACAGCGGCAGTAGAAGTCGCAGTAGTGCCGCGGTTGTTTACTAGTGCTGTTTTACTCTTCTTGCTTGCCCTCTTCCTCGCCGGCGGAGGATTTGCAGTGGCAGCGGCGGCGGTGTTTGGAGGAAGAAGATCGTCGTCATGATTCTTGTCCTGATAATGATGATGACGCGGCGAGAACAGAGCACCGCCGTCCTCGAGGTGGGAGCAGCATTGGGTGGTAGCGGCAGGGGCGCCAAAGCAGAGCATCGAAAGAGGAGGAGGAGCAGAGTGGGGAGGATGGACATGCGCGGCGACGTCAATGATCATGTGACGAGGATCGTCGTCGTTGGACCAGAGGAGTTGGGAGAATGTGGTCGGGTTCGGGCCCCCTAACAGATAATCGTCACTGTCGTCTTCGTCATCGTCTTGTTGATCTGCTGCTGCTGCTTCGGCCTTGACCATCCGCTGGTTGTGGTGGTGGTGATGATGGTGGTGAACAGAGGAAGGAGTCATGGTGGTGCTCTGCTCATCATCGGTCATCATTTTGTGAGTTGAGGACTGCTAAACTAGTGTGCAGGAGGGAGCAAAGGAAGAAGGTGTGGAAGAAAGGAAATGAAGTTGGGAGTTGCGAGGGATGTCTTCTTCAGAGGCGAAAGGAGCAGTTCTCGCAGAGCAGAAACCAAGAAGCGCGGACGAACGACCCATCGCCGAATTGGAACTGAAATGCTTGAGAGAGGATGCAGAGCAACAGGAACTTGATGGGCGACTGATGGATGAGATCTTGGGGAAAGGGGCAGGGCCAAGGAAGTTCACTTTCAAGGAAGGTTGTGGTCGAGATGCCAATGCCGCCGGCCAATTCGGTGCGTTGGAAGTCCGATCTGGAAACAGAGTGGTCGTAGCGGCAGTTCAAGTTTTTGTGATAATTTTTTTTCATTTTTTATAATTATATTTTTTTTATATTGATGTGTAATTTCTAAAAATTTAATTTTTATTTTTAAATTATTTTTTATTTGCCACGTCACACATTTAACGGTCAACGGTCAGAGTTGACCGCCACGTCAGTCAAAGTTAACGGAGGTTAACGGAGAGTGACCAAACTTGAACTGTTCAACTAATTCGAGTGACTATAAATGGAATAAATTAATTTGAGTGGCAAACGTGAAATTTTATAGCAATTCGAGTGACCAATCTTGCAATTAAGCCCAAAAAAAAATAACAAAAATAAGTAGTCGGTGTCACAGTCCGATTTGCGGACAACTACGCGCCCGTGATTCAAAGATCACTGTCGGAAAATGGGACTCGTGATCTTCAAGGCATGTAGAGCATAATGATAGCTTTTCAAAGTTAGCAAGCTCCCTTGGGATTTCACGGATGTGATCAAGCCATGGACTTAGCCTGTGAACTTGTTCGTCCTTAGGGCATATATATAGTTGAGTCGATTTTGAGAGAAGGGATATGCGAATTTTCAACTTCCAACAAACAAGAGAGATGAGAAGCTAAGGGTTTACACTAGAAGAGACGATGAAGTTTCTGTTTCTTCTCTCCCTTTCACAAGGGTGATTCCTTATTATGTACTTGGGGGTAAGAACATGTAATCTAATAGAGCGATTAGTGATATGCAATGAATAAGTTTGTTGATTTCTTAGTAAATTATGTCTAATTGGTTGAAGTGTTTGATATTTCATGTCTTGATTGTGTATGGATTATATGGTGCTTGACTAATGAAGGTGACCATTCAATTGCGTCAAGTCTAAACCTAATAGAGTAGATATGTATTTGCATGACCATTGATCTATCTATCCATGTGACTGTTGGACTTGTCCCTAATTCAAGAATTGAGGTTAAACCTTAGCTATGATGGTCAATAACATGTCCATTGAGATTTAAGAGGGTAATTAGGTGCATGACCGTTGACCCAATTGCCTCAGTAATGATTCTTACCCCACAGACACTACAAAGGATGCAAATAGATTTCATGATTGTCACTTCCCAAAAGTTAGGTTGGGGAGGAGGGAAATCAATCCCAAGTACTCTCTTTATTTTGACTTTAAAGTATATTGCAATTGTACTTTGTTTAGACTAAACATCGCCAATTGATCGACTAGATAACAATTTCATCATATAGTAACAGTAGTTCCCAAGGGAATACTACTACCTTTGGGTGGTCACTGGTCACCACTATAATGCTTCGCCAATTTAGAGTGTACTTTATCTAGATTGAAGTAGCTAGTTGTCTTAATTTATAAAATGAGTAATTTAAAACGAGTTAATTCAAATTACATGCCCTCATATCAACTCGTTGTAATTGTTTGAAATGGATCAAGTCAAATTTGCAGGCCAAATTCCTTCATCCAGAATTTATCAACTCGTTGTAATTGTTTGAAAATGGATCAACTCAAATAAGTATCTCGTTTGGTTGAACCATGCAAATGTAGTATTTGACATGTGGTATTTAGTAAAAGCAGAGTGGTAAAACAAATTATTTCAAAATAACACATGGGTATGAATTATTTTAAATAACTCATTATTCAAATAACTCGTTTCAGTAAAATGCTACCAAGTTATTTATTTTATTAATCGTAGCCTTTAATTTATATTTATTTATATTTATAACATAAACCTTATAGAAAAAGGTGATTTACATTTACCCAAAGAAAACGTTATAAAAAAGGTGATTTATCCAAAGAATGATTAGGTTGAACCAGTCTTGGTTAAGTGATAAATATAAATCAAAGGCTAGATTTTCTGGTTCGTATATCTAACGGCTTACAATTTACCAACACGGTACCGTTGCCGATTTTAGGCGGTTCATCGTCTCTCCTCTTTATTTTCTCTTTCTTTTCTTCACACGAATTTCAATCGTTTCTCAGATTCCGTAGAACCCTAATTACACCAAGCTACGCGTCTCCACCTTTCACAGCCTCAGGCAAGTGAATCCGGCAAGGCATTATCTTGGAAGAGTCCAACCGTCGCTACGGTCATGGCTCAAGACGATGACCTCAAGAAGTTGGAATATCTATCTCTGGTCTCCAAGGTCTGCACCGAGCTCGAGACTCATTTAGGGTTCGGTGACAAAGTCCTCGCGGAGTTCATCACCGAATTGGGTCGCAACTGCGAGGCTGTGGACGAGTTCGATTCAAAGTTGAAGGAGAACGGCGCCGAGATGCCCGATTACTTTGTTCGAACGCTTCTAACCATTATACATGCCATTCTTCCGCCGATGCGCAAGTCGGAGATCCCCAAGGAGACCGCCGGTAGTGGGGGTAAGTACAAAGCTCTCGCTATTGCTGATGGCAAGGATAGAGTGAAGCAGCTCGAGCTGGAGCTTGAGACGGAGATCAATGATAGGAGGAAAGATGATAACCGGGGTGGAGACAGGGACAGAGAAAGGAGGGACAGGGATAAAGGTAGGGATAGAGATAAAGATAGATATAGAGACAGAGACAGAGATGGAAACAGGGATAGGGATAGAGGCAGGGATAGGGATCGTGGTCATGATCGTGAGAGGCGCAGAGACAGAGACTCGGATGATGGTTATCATGATGATGAGGGCTACGGAGAGAAAGATCACGATGGTCACAAGAATAGAGGAAAGCATAGAGATGGTCGGCATGATTGGCATAGGAGAGGTGACGACATCCGAGATAGTAGTGATTATGATAGGCATGAAGACGGCAAAGGTGAGATGGTCCAGAAGAGCACTGCGTCTAACTCCAGCGAGCCTGAATTATACAATGTATATAAAGGCAGGGTTTCCAGGGTCATGGACTCGGGTTGCTTCGTGCAGTTAAATGATCTCAAAGGGAAGGAGGGTCTTGTTCATGTTTCTCAGATTGCAACCAGGAGAATCGGCAACGCAAAGGAAGTAGTGAAACGAGATCAAGAAGTGTATGTGAAGGTGATTTCTGTTTCAGGTCAGAAGTTGTCTCTTTCAATGCGAGATGTGGACCAGCACACAGGGAGGGATCTACTCCCACTGAAGAAGATCTCCGACGATGATTCCTCTAGGACGAATCCTTCGAGTTCTAGAGATGGGCAAAGAACTCGGACAGGGTTATCAGGGATTAGGATTGTGGAAGAAGATGAAGCTATTCCATCTCGCAGGCCGCTGAAGAGGATGAGTTCACCAGAGAGATGGGAAGCTAAGCAGTTGATTGCTTCAGGTGTTCTAAGCGTTAAAGAGTACCCTATGTATGATGAAGAAGCAGATGCGTTGCAGCAATATGAAGAGGAAGGAGGTGAGGAGGAACTGGAAATTGAGATCAACGAGGATGAGCCTGCATTTTTGCAGGGGCAAACTAGGTCCTCCGTTGATATGTCACCTGTGAAGATCTTTAAGAATCCTGAAGGGTCACTGAGTCGAGCAGCTGCTTTGCAGTCTGCCCTAATTAAGGAGAGGAGGGAAGTAAGGGAGCAACAACAAAGGACAATGCTTGATTCCATACCAAAGGATCTGAATCGACCTTGGGAAGACCCAATGCCAGAGAGTGGTGAGAGGCATCTGGCCCAGGAACTTAGGGGGGTTGGTTTGTCTGCTTATGACATGCCTGAATGGAAGAAGGATGCTTATGGGAAGGCTTTGACATTTGGGCAGAGGTCGAAACTATCGATCCAGGATCAACGACAAAGCTTGCCCATTTACAAATTGAAAAAAGAGCTGGTTCAGGCTGTCCATGATAATCAAGTTTTGGTTGTTATCGGCGAGACAGGTTCTGGTAAGACTACACAGGTAACACAATATCTTGCCGAGGCTGGTTATACTACACGTGGTAAGATTGGTTGTACTCAGCCCCGTAGAGTTGCTGCAATGTCTGTTGCCAAACGTGTTGCTGAAGAGTTTGGTTGTCGGTTAGGAGAGGAAGTGGGATATGCTATTCGTTTCGAAGATTGTACTGGGCCAGATACAGTCATCAAGTATATGACTGATGGTATGCTTCTTAGGGAGATATTGATTGATGAGGAGCTCTCTCAATATTCAGTGATAATGCTCGATGAAGCTCATGAGAGAACTATTCACACTGATGTTCTTTTTGGGCTTCTTAAGAAGTTGGTGAAGAGAAGGCCCGATCTTCGTTTGATTGTCACTTCTGCTACCCTGGATGCTGAGAAATTTTCTGGTTATTTTTTCAATTGTAACATTTTCACCATCCCTGGTAGGACATTCCCGGTGGAGATTCTATACACCAAGCAGCCTGAAAGTGATTATCTAGATGCTGCCCTGATCACTGTCTTACAGATCCATTTGACGGAACCCGAAGGTGATGTGCTTGTGTTCTTAACAGGTCAGGAAGAAATTGATTTTGCCTGCCAGTGTTTGTATGACCGGATGAAGGCGTTAGGTAAAAATGTTCCAGAACTGATTATATTACCAGTTTATAGTGCCCTTCCTAGTGAAATGCAGTCAAGGATATTTGATCCAGCTCCTCCAGGGAAAAGAAAGGTGGTTGTGGCAACCAATATTGCAGAGGCGTCACTGACAATTGATGGGATATTTTATGTTGTGGATCCTGGGTTTGCTAAGCAGAATGTATACAATCCAAAGCAAGGTCTGGATTCTTTGGTTATAACCCCAATCTCACAGGCATCTGCTAAGCAACGAGCTGGACGTGCTGGCCGTACTGGGCCTGGGAAATGTTACCGTCTTTACACTGAAAGTGCCTACCGGAATGAAATGTCCCCTACGTCCATTCCTGAAATCCAAAGAATTAATCTTGGGATGGTAACACTTACAATGAAGGCCATGGGAATTAATGATCTCTTATCTTTTGATTTTATGGATCCCCCGTCACCTCAAGCCCTAATCTCTGCCATGGAGCAGCTGTACAGTCTAGGGGCATTGGATGAAGAAGGGCTGCTTACAAAATTGGGGAGGAAAATGGCTGAATTCCCTCTGGATCCTCCGTTGTCCAAGATGTTGCTGGCTAGTGTCGACCTTGGCTGTAGTGATGAGATTCTGACTATCATTTCCATGATCCAAACAGGGAACATCTTCTACAGGCCCAGGGAGAAACAAGGTCAAGCTGACCAGAAGAGAGCCAAATTCTTCCAGCCTGAGGGTGACCACTTGACCTTGCTTGCTGTCTATGAGGCTTGGAAAGCAAAGAACTTCTCTGGTCCTTGGTGTTTTGAGAACTTTGTTCAGTCCAGGTCCTTGCGAAGAGCCCAAGATGTCAGAAAGCAGCTTCTCACCATTATGGATAAGTACGCTCTTGATCTTCAAGTCAATAGTCTTGTCTCACCTTTCCCCCCTTCATATTAAGGACCTTTTACCTGTAATTTTCTTGTTTTAGATTCTATGAAGCAGAATCACTAACCTAAATAGAACTTAATTGTTTGGCCACTGTCCTTTGCAACGCGCAGCGCTGTCAGAAGGATGGTATCTTCTCTTTGATTTGATTGATTGGTGTAATGTGCTTTTGCATGTATTTCCTTTTGTCATGGGTCTATTATATTGGCGAGTTAGTTGGATTCTACATGGTTATACTTGAACATGAATCTGACCTTACTTATTGCTTGGGTGTCATTCAGGTATAAGTTGGATGTGGTGAGCGCTGGAAAGAATTTCATGAAGATAAGGAAAGCCATCACAGCTGGTTTCTTTTTCCATGCTGCGAGGAAGGATCCACAAGAGGGGTACAGGACCCTAGTGGAGAACCAAGCAGTGTATATCCATCCAAGCAGTGCCCTTTTCCAGAGACAGCCAGATTGGGTGATCTACCATGAACTGGTGATGACAACAAAAGAGTATATGCGTGAAGTCACTGTGGTGGATCCCAAGTGGCTGGTAGAGCTTGCACCTAGGTTTTTCAAAGCTGCTGATCCAACCAAAATGAGCAAGCGCAAGCGCCAGGAACGAATAGAGCCTCTTTATGACAGATATCATGAACCTAACTCTTGGCGGCTGAGTAAACGTCGAGCGTAGTAGGATCAAGTATGTCTTTGTAATTCTATGGATCAAGTTTTGTTGAATGATCGGGAGCCTCTCTGGATGCCCAGACTGACTTTGTATGTGGGTTCTGTGTCCTTTGAACGGGCTCTCTATTTAGAAACATGTCTTACTAGCATACGTATATGCATATGCATCTTTACTGCAGTGCAAGCCCGTTGTATTATATGTGATCTGATTTTTTGGTTACGGTGACTTGTTCGTTCTTGAGTTGCCTTTGGTTGATCCTTCCTTGTGAGCGGTATGCCGCTGCAGATTCATGTTCAGAGTTGACAGTTTTCTCGCCTGGGTAAGTACTCGCCTTCCGTGGATTCATTTTCTCCTCTCTTGAACAGCTTGATGGCTGTTGAACATGCATTTAAAACACCAACAGGATGCATGATAAGGTCAGTCGGCTCTTCATATTGTGTTCGTTATTCTCTTTGTTCAGACATATTTGGTTGAGCAGGCAGACGGCTAAAGTCTGGTGAAGCTACCACAAATATCCAAGTTGTTTTGAACCAGGAAGTTAGGTTCGTTGTTAGTAGTGATGACAATTTGAACCCGTCCTCATGTATTATCTGACTTGACCCGCAATGGTGGATTGCTTGCACAGCTAGTTTCTCTTTTTTTTAATCGATCGCCTGCACCATAGTTGAGTTCACAATAATAATCTAATTTTTGTTTAACTAGCATCGTACCGGCAGACATACTTAATTAGTCATGTAAGATCTTATTAAAGATTGTTGGTCCTCATCATCGACACATTCTTCTCGCCGTCAATCCTTGCTAGCTTAATAATACCTAGATCTTTGGCTGATGAATCCTGATGTTGAAGAGAAGACAATTCCAATGCCCTGGAATTGCATTGGTTCAGGGATGATCACATTGGTCTGATTTGCTAAAAGAACTTCTGGGTTCAATTTCCCTTGGTTTAGAAAGTTTGATTTAATCGCCAACCAAATTGCACTTGCTATATGACCACAACTGCTGCTGCTGTAAGAACTTGAATCGCCATGCTGTCCAGCTAGATAGTAGGAAATTAGTTTACTTGGATTAATGCAACATTTGGTCACTGAGATTACTAAATCATGTCATGTTTAGTCATTAGAAAAAATTAATATTAATTTTGGTCATTCGAATTAATGAAACATGTTACATTAAGTCACTCTCCCGTTAGTTTTTGTCCAACTCCATTAACGGATTTGGACGGAGGCTAACAGAGAGTGACCAAATGTGACATGTTTCAGTAATTCAAGTGATATTCATAAATAAAAAAGTAACTCGAGTGACCGGAGTTGGACGGAGGCGAACGGAAGAGTGACTAAATGTGACCTATTTTAGTAATTCGAGTGACCAAAATTGATATTAATTTTTTCTAATGACTAAACATAACATGATTTAGTAATTTCAGTGACCAAATATGACACCATTTTAATGAGTTCTTTTTCCGGTTGTTTTGTTTACTTTACTTTAGCTAGACAGCAGGAAATTAGTCTACTTGGATTCCATTTAAATGTTGTCTATTTTTTATCCAAACCTTTTTCGATTTTTTTAGGGTAAATACAATTTAATAGTCAAACCTTTCGTTTTAAACAAAATAATAGTCAAACCTCTTAAAAATCAAAATAATAACCAATCCGTAAAATTTCCATCCGTTGACCGTTAGTTGACTATGATGTGGCAAAGTGTTAGATGACATGAATGATTTTTATGACGTGGCAAGAAATCAAATGGTTGACCTTGCCATATAGATATTATAAACATATAATAATAATAATAATAATAATAATAAATTAAATGGTGAAATTCTCTAACCCTTCGTCTCCGCCGCACTCCCCTTCCCGTCACCATCTCATCACCGAATCCCCTTCATTCAGCAGTCAACACGTTCAAAATCCCCCTCACTTCACTAATCACTTCCCAATTGAAACACACAACGCAAAAATAAATCCCCTAAAATTTCAGAAACAAGTTTATTCCCTTCACTCTTGCCGCTTTACTCTTCCAATTCTTTGCGCGGTTGTCCATACCACTGGCGGCTGAACTCAAACGACACCATCGACGATCGATTGTCATGGAGCAGTGGGTGATGGCGGCGAGATTCGGGGGAGGGAAGATGACAATTGAGCTCTAAAGATGTCGTCTGTCTCCACTGACAGCGGCTATGAAACCTTACTTTGCTCCCATCTCGAGTCTCAACAGCTGCGATTGTGAAGTGGAAGGAAACTGAGGTGACCCAAGCAGCGACCAAGCGAGTCGGGCTGGAGACTAGCCTGAGGAAGGCGGAGGCAGAAAGACACATATGGCGGAGGGCGGCAACGAAGACGGAAGCTACAGGCTTGAATATGATATGGAGATCTGAGGAATCGTCGAAAGAGTGAAGACCACGAACCTAGTCGGCGACAATAGGAGCGGGGGTGGCGGAATGATGTAAAAGTAGAGGCGGAGAAGGAAGATGAAGTAGAGGCGGCGATTGAAAGAGATGATGTCGGGTGATGGGAGGAGAAAAGGGATTCGAAATGGTAAGGGAGACTTGTGATTTTTTACATTCTATTTTTTTTCTATTTTCATATTATAAAATAATATGAACAATTAAAATATTATTTGTCATGCCACATAAAGATTTCCATCTGAGCAATCAATTGCCACGTCAGAGTCAACTAACGGTCAAACGGATGGAAAGTTAACTGATTGGTTTTTTTTGTTTTTGGAAAGGTTTGGCTATTATTTTGTTTGAAATGAAAGGTTTGACTATTATATTGTATTTATCCTTTTTTTATTAGTCAAACCTTTCGAAATACTAAGAATTAGCCAAATGTTAACTTTCAGTTAACAATTTTGTTAGTAATATTGACTTGACAACATGATACTGACTGGGAAGAGACACATGGAAGTCAACATTCCAAAAAATTAGTATTTTAACTAAGAAAAGAGTTACAAAGTTATTAACGGTAACGTAAAAATGGCTAATATTTTGATGCATTACGAAAGATTTGGCTAATAAATGACATTTTAATAGGTTTGGATAATATAAAAGAATTCGAAAAATATTCAGATAAAAACTAGACATTACCTTTTTTATTATGTCGTCGTCTTTGTTGTTCTTCATGGCAAGAGATGTTGCCACGACTTGAGCCTGAGCAGGCATCGATGATCTCCTGAGAGTCACCTTCTCTCCTTCTAGCATGCCGACCTTTTTCTCCCCTCCTTGATTGGATGTCCACCTTTTTCCTCTAACATCTCATAAGAATGGGTTTTGATAACTCTTATATGCAATCTTTCTTTGAAAAGGATTCCAACGAGTTGTATCACCAACATTTGCTCTAGATCTAGTGAGTAGGTGCGAGGAAAACGAAGAGGGGTTGCCTCCATTTCTCTTCTCTGAAACAAATTCTTTTGAGTCTCTTCTCGCATATGACAAGGAAACATATTGGCAATGGGGGGTTTTATTAGTGGCGGTGCTAACCGCCATGACCTCTTTCCTTCTGTGTTGCAGATTTCTCTCCTCCTTGGAGGAAACAACAAAATTGAAGGGTTGGACCTATGCATTTTTGCGTAGGTGTCGCCCGTCGTGACTTTCTCCCCCTTTTTCTTATTGTGCCCTCATTTTTCTTGCAAGACATAGGAAATAGTGGGATTTTGGATCGCCATGCTCTTTTTTGTATTTTCCCTTTTATTTCTTTATGAATAAAACAAAAATGATAAAAGCAAAAAAAAAAAAAAAAACAAAGAGAGAGCAACTGCTTCTCCTCCTCAACAATAATAGGAACATAGTAGATAAAACCATTCATCAATCCGTCCCACAATTATTCTCATGGAGGCATCTCTTAACAAATTATTCAAGTTTTGAATCTACCCTACATTTTATCTAGGAGTAGTGACATTAAGGAATCTAAGTATGCTTTAGTTCATTCTCATCCCAATATAACCTTTATAGTTAGAGTATTTGCCAGCTATTTGAGTAATCTATGCATGAAACACTAGAAAGAATAAAATGTGTAATGCGTTGAGTAAGGATGGTAAAAGAAATCATCTAATTATCGGATCAAGTAGAGAGATCATTAGGTACTCTGTTCTCGATGCTACAGAGTGTCAAGATAGCATGAACTCTATATAATGTTACCTTTATGTGTTCGATAGAGTTAAAATATGTCTTGAGACTTTCACTTATGGTTGCAAAGTTTTGTCACTAGAATGACATTGGTAAGTCATAACAGGTTAACAATGTCATGATATTGATACACAACCATTACCAAAGGAGTTCAGAATTCAAAGTCATTGACATCGAACTCCTTTAGGTTAACGATCAGGTTCAAAATAGACAAGATTCTATTGAACATTAAGGACGTGACTAATGCTAGCTTGTACAAAGTTGACACCTAAAGTTTTTAATGAGAATTATTGTGGATGTTACCTTGGTTAGTGATGGTTTCTTAGGTCTATTTTGATATTAAAAAGTGTCTTTAATCGTGCAATGGTCACATTATATGAAGGAATTTCGATGATCTCAATAAAGATTCAAATTGGATCAGTTGAAAATATGCATGTTTAAGATCACATTGTATGTAAATTTCATCTCACTCATCCATATTTGATCTATGTCATTGAGCATACAGGTGTGCTGATCATTGTGGTTTGATCATTATCATATTGTGATTAGCATTTGGTTCCATAATTGATACATGAGGTGGACCATTTGTTTCAGGAGAAGTCTAAACACAAATAGCATGGTTACACGCCTAAAGAAGTTTGTGATATAATTGATTCAAGGAAAATATGCAGTCTAAGCAGGAAATTGTTAGGAAATTATGTGGTATGGACCATATTTTATACACAATTATATAAGCTATTTGTTAAGTGGAATATATGTAAGTAATCAAATTGAGAAGCTCAAGACTAATAAAAAATCAACACTGGTCGATAAGTGGAAATCACATAAATATCCATCTTGGATTTTATTGGAGTCATTGGTGAAACTTGTATTTTTATGAGCTTCAATGTGGTACCCAAGATACCAAAACAAAACACTATCATATACTCCCAATTAGGAAAATCATATATCTCTTGTATAGAAAGTAAAGGGGCTTGGTTAAGAAATGTCACAATACCTCCATGATTGTGCTTTTAGAAGTATCTTCCAGGAATAGATCACCTTATGTTTCTAACAGCAAGATCCAGATAATCAACAACATGATTATAAATATTTCTACCAATAACAAGATGAATTTTTAGAGAATTATATGTATAACTCTTGTCTTCTTTTAATATCACTCGAAAATAAAAAATAAAAAAGCTTAAATT